CCCTTTTTTATATGTAGGCAAGATGTGGCCAGAAGGTGGCGCCTAAAGAATTAGTGTTGAGATGCACCAGATGGACGAGCTGTGGATGAGGAGCACTGTCAGGACTGGATATTTGATGCAACGGGACACATTGCTCATCCTCAGCATCCTCCGCAAGTCTTTATTTTAATAGAACAAACTAAGTTTCATCACTAGTCTCTGCTGACTGAGACACAACAGCCCTGTGTGGCTGAGAAGACAATAAGTCCAAGATCAAGATAATCTGCTCTTAAACACAGCCTGCACTTGATGTCGACAGCTCCAGACACATTATCCAGTCAGCATTTCTGCATGTCAAGGTGAGGACAGTATGAGTCATGTCTATCTGGTTACATTATGTCTGCTCTACTCAGGTAGACCAAAATAAGATAATTAGATATTATCAAGTGCAAATCAAGCTCCACTTACTGTCTGTACAAAACACCAAAGCCATAATGCCATGCAAGTCTGTAATGTGTTTTAAAATATCTTTTTTGAGCTTTTACGCCTATCATTACCAATATAGTAAACAATATAGGAAACAGATGTCAGAATAGCACTTTCCCAGATGACCAAATAATCCAAAAATAATTCATTGTCTAATAAAATCAACTGGATTTTTAAACTGCACATCATAAAAAAATAAAAAGATATGAAGAACTTGAACATTTGGGTTGGCTGTGGATCAGGTGGAGCCATTTAGAGCGGGACTAATCAGAAGGTCAGTAGTTTGATCCCCGATTCCTACAGTCCATGTATCAAACACTCCTTGGGCAAGATGCTAAACCCTAGTTTAGCATCTTGCCCAAACTTTAGCCTCTGTGCTTCTGTGTGAGAGAGCGGGGATCTTAGTTAAAAGTGTTTAGGTGGAAGTAAAAACACTGTATGAATATGTGAGTCTTTAGGTAAATAAGACTCACATTTATTCAACTGAGTAGAAAGTTGCTAAATAACCATGTTAGCTGCTAGTAAACATTACACTAACATCTAAGGTAATGTGAATGCTAACCTGCTAGCTGATGTTAACCTTGTTTGTATTACTAGCAAAAGCCCACCCAGGTTTTCACATTTTGTTTTAAAGAAGTTCCAAATTCCATATTTAGTGGTGACTTAAACATAATTCCATCATCGAAATTTTGGAGAATAATTTTTTTGAAACACTTTAACTACAGTATACGCCAACGAGAACATAACATGAATGAATCCCAATTTTTTTTGAACCACTAATGCGAGGCAGGATGGATCGAAGCATCTAAGCTTTTAGGTTGTTTACATCAAATCCTTAAACTAAGATCTGAATTTCACAGCAGAAATCAAGACTCTTCAGACCAGGAAACATTTTCAAAAGCATACTTAGACTGTGATGTCTATGTTACCATGGCCTCATAAAGTGTTTTGTCTCTATTACAATATCAGGGCTGAACTTCTTAAAGCTTGCCCCTAAAAATACCCCCATAATTTAATAAAGGAAAAAACCCAGGCAAACTAGTAAAATAAAAGAAAAAAGAAACTGTAAGATGTAATAACATAGCCTGACTTAAATAACATTTAATTACACTGGAATCATGCCCTCAGTTGCAGACTGTACTATAGAGTGTGAACAATGAAATGAAGCCAAATACAGCGAGAAGCTAATAATTCAGCATGTGCAGTAGTCTCAGGAGACTCTGTTGCTTCAAAGAGCAACAGAAGTTGTAGTGCTT